ATGCTCGTGACACCGAGCCAGTGCCCGCGAGCCGTCTTCCGGCTCCGTGCTAGTCCAGCCGTCCCGCCGCCGCGTGGTCCACGCCCCGCTAGCGGGCGGCGTGCTTATGCCGTAGCCGTAGGTTGCCGGTAGCTAGCTGTCTGTAGCCCTAGCGACCTGAGCTCAGGCACCCTAGGCAGCCGGAAAAAGGTCCGTCAAAAAAAAAAAAGTCTCGGTCTGTGCCTTTGGCTTCGAGGGTTCTCATTGCCTTGTCTTCCTGCAACGAGCTCACCTTGAATGGACTCACTCGTTTTCCGTGCTTCGTTGCTCGCCTCCGTCAAATTCCACCGCGCAGTCATCGCAAATGGATTGGGGCAGAGCACAACTTGTTGTCTCCAGTCTCTCCAAGGAGGCCGCACGTGATGCACATGCGACGGTCCTAGCTCCACACCACTGCCGGCGGACGTTAAACCCAGCGACTGAGGACAATGACAACCGCCACTCTGTCCCAGTCTGCCCGGATAGGCAAACTTGAACCGACGTGAAACATTGCAGCTTGGATTGCCGCACACCACTAGCAGCAAAATGTTCGTAGCTGGCCTGATACATCAACTTATCATTTTTCATCGGTTATGGCCCCAAGAAGTCGCCACAAAATCATCATCGCTTGCGACACATTTGTGTCCGCTCGCGATGCCAGTTTAGTACATAATCGTTCCAGGCGTGTTGATGTGGACGCTATCGTCGGGATGCAGCACCTCCGCCGCTTGTTGCAAGGCATCGTGCTGTCCGTGCGCGAAAAGCAATGGCGAAGGCGTCTCCTTGCTCACAGCCCGCTGGCTCATGCATGCTCACGTCATGGTTTCCAAGGTTGTGCTGGTCGCGGCCTGCTGCACCGCTGCATGTAGGGCGAAAGCTGCCCACCACCATCTCGTCCAGGCGGAGGTGGCTGCGGCCCGTTGGGCTCGCCTTTGGGACCACCTGAGCGTCAGCCCCAACGGCTTCTCGCGGGACCCTTGCCCGCATGATCGTCGAACACATCGACGAGCCGGCTACGTCCCAGTGTGGTAGCAGGCTGCGTTGGTATGGCTGTGAACCAGGCTCCTGCGTGTGGCCCCCTGGTGGGCGAGCGCCATCTGTGACTGCTTGCCAGGACGGATGTAGTCCTGCCAGGATTGAAGGATGTTGCGTATTACCGCTGCATGCGCTGCGGGGGCACGCTGCATCGGGTCACTCCGCGCGAAGTCTGGGCGAGCCGTAGTGGCGGAACTGGCAGCGCACGCAGCAAGGACACGAATTTTAAGAAAACGTGGTGGTATGTGTAATGGGAAGGGTTTGGTTTACGGGTTAGTGTCAAGGGTTCGGTTGTGGTGTGTGGCGGGGGTCAAGAAGGCGGCCGGAAAGGACATTGGGAAGGCGGGGGGGGGGGGGGGGGGTGGGGTTGAGGGTCTAGGCGCTCAGTGTATCCGATCGGGTTTAGGCAGCATCCGTGTCCCTGCATATGCATGCCACTGATGATGCAGGACGATACAAAATGATACAATTTTCATCAAATATCCAGGCTACTGTCGTGCAGGTAAGATTGATTTCCTGTGGGGGTCCAGAGTGTTTGGTTCATACAGTATTGGACAGCTTCAAGGCTTGGTGGTGCTCGAGGTCTCGCAAAAGCGTGTTTCTTTTTCGACATTCAGAGTTCGGGGAGCCAAAGTGGCACGTGGACCCACCGTAGCAAGACCCTCCAGTCATTCAAACTTTTCATCACGCTTTCTGGCCATATCCTTCCACATGTTCGAATTCTACTAGTAAGGAGAAAAGTTACCCTCCTCAGTCAGGTTCGGGAGAACCCTCCCTGGTCATGGTGCTTTTTCAGGTGGGTGGATGCAGCATAACTCATAAGACAGTGGCCATAGTCCCTAGGATTCTTGTGCGACGTTGCTTCTCTTCGATTTTCCTGCCACGTGTTGCAAGCGGACAGGCCCTGGTTCCGGGAGTTCGAGGCGACAACGGCGACAAAGTATTGCCGATTAAAAAGGCAGGACGCCACGGCACAATCGGCGGCATTCTGTGTGAGTTTATCGTGCAGGTCGCTTTGTTGCTCCTCCGGGTGTTGCAGCGTTTGCTCAATGTGCCGGACAAGGCTAGCGGTGACATTGGGGTGCTCGGGCGAAGTTTCAGAAAGACAGAAACAATGGCTGTGACACGTCCGAGGTCTTGTATCCTGCCACCAATGCAAGTTTTCAAGGCCACTACTTCTTTTGCCGAGCGGAGCGCGGTGTGTTTCTTCATCCCGATATCTTCTGATCCAGGACCACGTGTTTTCGATTTCCAAGCTTTTACAGCACTACATGCTCACCAGAGGCCACGGCAATCGCTGCCGCACATGTGTGTCTGGCCGATTGTTCTAATTCATCTAATTCTTAGGGGGTGCCAAGGCAAATTCGGCAAAAGTACGCAGGCAGCTGCAACCTCAGCACGTGAGTTGTACGTGTCTTAGTTCTGAATGGTGTCTCGAGTCCGAGGCGGTTGCCCAGCAGCTGTCGAGGAGAGCCTTCTGCTGGCTCAGATGTGGGAGGCGAGAGTTAAGAGCAGTGCGCAACATAAGAAGTCGGCTCGCCGCTTGCCATCATCTCAAGGATGAGTTTCTTCTGACCTACACGCAATGGCCTTGTGCACGAATCAAAGCGGCTGTCAGATGCGGTGGTTGTGTACTTGCAAATGGGTAAGGTTTCACCCTTCAGAGCTGGAGTACTTGAAGACGTCCGAGTCATTGCGGGCTGCGTGCCGTCGGTACGAGGACTGAGCTGAGATGATGTGCACTGCTATTCGTTCGCCTTGTTGTTTGGGGCACGCAGGAGCTGCAAAGACTGACAGGTGCCAGGCCGAGTGCAGACAAACGCACACGCCGTACATTCGCTAGATACAGATGATGCAGCATGGAGAGGACGACATCCCGGAAGCAGCTGAGAACATGTGCTTTCTTGACTTTCTTGATCTGGCGCAGGCCCAGCACGGCACAGCAACAGAAGATGCCAGACTTGGAACACGCGTGGGCGCCCTTTTCTCGACCATGCACAGGGCTTTTAGAAGCCAGTGTCAGCCAAGAAAATTTTGGAGGCTGTGCAGCCCGGTGCGCAGCGAGGCGGGTAGAGTTGCTTGCTGTGTTGCTTTGGGGTGATTGTTTTGTGCACCTCATCCCGCGCAATCCCGTGCATGCTTGATGCGAAATAAGTTTCTGGTTGCTGTGGTTCAGCTTTCTGAGCATTGCGTGCTACATAGCCGCTTCGCGCAGTCGTGTGCCAGGGCACTTTCCAAGTTCACCGGGAAAGTCGAGACGGTCGGGGGCATCACGAACTTTTAGGATGTGCTGCGATTTGCTCGGCGGCTATTTATTCTTGATCATGGCCCATGGCCAAGAGTTATGCATGATGATGAAAGCTTTTGTATCAGTGCTGGTTTGTGTCGGTTATGTGACTGGTGCCAGAAGCCAGCAGCACTTCCTCTCCAAGAACTGCGAGCCAGCCCGTCATGTTTGGAGACAAGAGTGTGAAGGGGCGCTGTGGAGCGGCAACTTGCAGAGTCAGGCCCGTCGGGGCATTCATCACAAAGATCCGCAGATCCTTCAGGCTCCAGGCATCGCTTTAGCTCCTTGCCATGGCGCTCTTCGTCCCGGCTCGGCGCCGTTCAGCACTCGCGGCCTCTCTGGCGATGGCGGCAGTTTTCGGCCTTTACGCGCAGGCCAGGGCCCAGGGCCAGGGCGAAGCGAAGCAAAGCGAAGGAAAAGGCATGCCAGGGCCAAGTCCTGTCGTAAGTGAGTTTTTCATGCGCCATACAATGCCCAGGTGAGCTCCGCTTCAGATTTCGTGACCGGCTTTCCGGCCGTGCGAGCACGAAAGCCAACGGTGAGCATGCAATCCAAGGCCGCCTTGCGTGCGCCTCCATGTAGCATGCATCTCATGACATGCGTGCAACCGCGAAATCCTGTAATCTGATTTTGGACACGTGGTGTTTGCAGTTTCTGAACTGCAGGTGGACGACATTGTAGAAGAGCTCAAGGGCTTGACGCTACTTGAGGCCTCAGAGTTGGTGAAAGCCATCGAGGAGAGCAAAGCCTGATACATGTGAAAGCTGCATGCCAGGCTTTGCCACATAATGATGTGAGGAGACTTTCGGCGTGGACGCTTCTGCTTCGGCAGGGGCAGTTGTCATGGCGGCCCCCGGCGCAGGTGGCGGAGAAGCTGCTGAGGCACGGCTTGATTCCGTGTCTCCCATGAAGTGTTTTAGGATTCTGTGTTGCTTGTCTGCTGCCTGTCTGGGCCACGTCCAACAGGCAGTGGAAGAAAAAACAGAGTTTGATGTGGTCCTGAAGGAGGTGCCCAAGGTCCCCCCGCATCGCGGAACGGGTGCTGGGTTGTCAGTGAATGAGCCCAACGAACTGCATGAAGGCATTGCAGCTTTGGTTTCCGATGTAATTTGGAAGGCTTGGAATCGGAACTCATGTCCTAGCACCCAACATTCCTCAATTGGGTCAGAAGTTGCAGTGAAGTTCCGCTTCGACAGCTGCGCCGGTGGACCATACTCGCCACTGGTCCAGAGAGCCCGCAGACCGCGTCGC